AGATTCAGTCTTGGGTTGTATTAAAAGGGCCATAGCATCGAAATCACAGGAGGTCATAGTCCCTCTGTATACTGCCTTGGTCAGGCCGCATCTTGAGTCCTGTGTGCAGTTCTGGAGGCCTCACTTCAAACAGGATGTGGACAAAATCGAGAGGGTGCAGAAGAGAGCAACGAGGATGATCAGGGGTCTGGAGACTGAGCCCTATGAGGAAAGGCTGAGGGCCCGGGGAATGTTTAGTTTGGAGAAGAGGAGATGGAGGGGGGACATGATTGCTCTCTTTAAATATTTGAAAGGCTGTCATTGGGAGGAGGGCAAGGAGCTGTTCCAGTTGGCAGCAGAGGAGAGGACCTGAAGCAATGGGTTTAAATTACATGCAGAAAGGTATCGGCTGTATTGCTCTCTTTAAATATTTGAAAGGCTGTCATTGGGAGGAGGGCAAGGAGCTGTTCCAGTTGGCAGCAGAGGAGAGGACCTGAAGCAATGGGTTTAAATTACATGCAGAAAGGTATCGGCTGGATATCAGGAAAAACTTTTTCACAGTCAGAGTGGTTCAAAGGTGGAATCAGCTGCCTGGGGAGGTGGTTCACAGACAGCTTTCAAGAAGAGGCTGGACGGATATTTGTCAGAGATGCTTTAGGCTTGTCCTGCACTGGGCAGGGGGTTGGACTAGATGGTCTGTATGACCCCTTCCAATTCTATAATTCTATGATTCTATAACTCTGAACTCTAACCTCCATTCCAGTGTATTTGAAAAGGTATGCCTTGCACATGAAAGCTCATACCTTGAATAAACCTTTGTTGGTCTTAAAGGTGCCTGACTGGACTCTAAATTTGTTCTACTGCTTCAGACCAACATGGCTGACCACCTGGAAATATAAATATTATAAAAACATCTAAACCCCACAATTTAAAATCTCCAATTAGGACTAGGGATGGGCACAAACCGGCTCACAAACTAAAGTTCCTGATGAGTTTTGGTGGGTTCGTGGTTCGCAAACTGAAGTTCATGGCAAGTCAACTGACATGAACTTTCCACAAATTTTCAAGCAGTTCGCAGCAGCTCATGAATTTTCAGACAGACTGTCTCTGCTCAATCAAAATGTTTACCGAACTTCAAAGCAACAGGGAAGGCAGAATTCTCCAGCCTTGGAAACACCAATAGGGACCCTCCAAAGCTTAACAGGCACTGTTGACGGCAAATAACAGTTCCCATTCTGCTCTCTGGGATCAGAATACTATATATACCCTCAGCTCACCTCTGCACCCTCTCCTCTGTTGGGTGTTAAAAGCAGAGCACATTCATTTATTCCTGTTTGTGAACACCTCTCCCCTGGTGGGGTTTGGGTGTTAGGTGGACTCAGGGCTCTGAGCCTCCTCATCAGTCTGCTCACGCTGAACAAAGGGGCTTAGCTACTGGGTGCCTCAGATAAGGATCCACATTTATACCCTCCCACCCCTCCTGACTGTGAAATCCTCTGTGCCTCCTACTTTCTCCCAATCCTGGAGCCCTGTTTCCAACCCACAGTTTGGAAGCATTGCTGCACCCTCCCCATTGAACCCTGTGCGGTAGAGTGCCAGGTGTTTCATATCCATCCCCACCCCTGTCCTCCGCAGGCACATGCAAAGGGTGCACCCAACTAAGTTGCTGCCAGAGGAGAGAGTGATGGCCAGCGGGAGGAAGAAGGCACAAGCAGAGGAAGAGCAGGAGGCCCCTCGAAGAAAGGCTCCCCGCACTCAGGGTGCTGTGGGTAGGACAACACGATCTACCTCATAGTGCAACACCTACCTCATGAAAGAATATCTCCCTCATAACACAACACCTACCTCATAGAACAACATCACTTCAGCAAACATCTAAATCAACAAACATCTGCCCCTTTTTGACTACGTCTTTCCGTTGCATTTGTACAATTCAGAACAGGTGATCCCTTATCTATACAATGTGTTTCGCTAATTGTGAATAACAAGAAGTTTCACCTAGAGGTGGGCTGTGACCAGAGGATCTATGTGTCTGGGCCTGAGGGGGGCCTGGGAGCTTTGTAAGCATGCCTCACTGGGTTCCAGTGCTTGCCGGGGGTCTCTGCCAAGCTGCAGTGGGGGGCCTTGTCAAAAATCTGGGGAGGTCTGTCTTTATGTCCTTTAGAACGTGCCTTTGGAGACGTGGAGGTGGCCCTGCCAGCTCAACATATATTTCCATTCCTTTGCTGTGTAGCAGAATATACCCCAGATGATGGGTGTGCTCTGGACCTGTGTGTTTCAGCCTGGGGCTATGAGAGTTGTGGGAACACTTCCCTTGCTTGTGTTGTGTGGCTACAGGACCTGCCAAGCTGCTGTGAGGTTACTTTGAGGAGCCCGTTGAAACTCTGGCAGTGTTTGCCTTTCTGTCCTTCAGAACCTGCCTTTGGGGGGGGGGCTGTGAGTGTAGGGGGAATGCTTACCTTCTTTCAGTGTCTGACTGGAGGGGGGGTCTGTCCAAGTGAAGTTTCCCAGTGAGTTTGATGTCACTGGCTTGTTCCTGAGCTGTTTCATCGACTGCCGTAACTGCAGCTGTCTTCTCCAGAGAGAACACTGGGGTGACCTTTTGGGCGGGTATCTGTAATTGTTAGCAGTCAGACCCCTTCTCTCATAGAGGGGCAGTTTATAGCTAGAATAACCATAAATGCCCTTCTTAAAATAGCACTTCAAATACCATAAGTGCAAGACACTGCCTGGCCCAAAGTGACACAGAATGGATGCCAGTCAGATACAAGCCTAGACGTGTAATTTAGAGTGAATAAGATCGGCTGACTGTCTGCTGTCCCCTCCATGCCCCGGAGAGATGCATCATTCAGGACAATTTAGGACAATGGGTCTCCCAAAAATCTACTGACTCACAATTGGACTAGTCCCATCAAGTCCAACCTTACTTCCTCTGCACTCACTCTAGTTAAGTGACAGTTAAGCAGTGCTAAATTCTATTCATGTAACCCATTAGCTTGTCCTGCCAGGTACTTGTGGGGTCATCAGACCTCTCACACCATATTGTCCATCTCAGAAAAGTCCATTGTTACATTTTGCTCTATATCAGAAGCATTCTTCCCAGCAATGTGTGTGTGTGAGTGCCTTTGAGCCTCCCCCCCCACTTCGCTGGGCTCTCTTCACAAAACACTGGCCATTTTGCTGCTTCTGTGGACCTTTTCCTCGACACTGGTAATTATCACCCTTCCCTAAGATCTCTCTCCCCTCTCTTCCCTGTGTTTCTCTTAGCTAGCTCTGTGTGTGTGTTTATTGTGTGCATTTTGTTTTATTCTTTCTCTTTTCTTCATAAAAATCTTTCTGATTGAACATCTGCCTGGTTTATTTCGAGAGTTCTCCTAAGGGAAAAATCTTGATATATATAGGTGGAGAATCTCCGTTCCCCCCCCCCCTGGTCTTCTTAAAACTAATCCTCTCAACTAATTAGGAGACTGCCTCTCTGCATAACATAACTGGGACCCCAGAAATGTAACCTGCCCCCATCTTGGAGAGACTGTAGAGGAGTGGGCAGCAGGGTGATGTTCTCTGTGTGTATGATGTGTGCAGTTTGCAGGGGGTCCATTCTATACACTTTTGAACCTGTGCCTGACATTTTCCCCAAAAGCACTTTCCTGTGGGCACCTTCTGGGGGGGAGCATAACTTGAACCCCCTAAATCCAATCTGCACATAACTTGGAGGGCATGTAGAGGAACATCTAGGGGAGGCCCCCTGCGAGATTGATATCTCTAGCTTGTACAGGGTCCATTCTATACACTCCTGAACCTGAGCCTGACATTTCCCCAGAAAGCACTTTCCTGAGGGCACCTTCTTGGGCGTGGGGTATAATTTGGATCCCATAAATCCAATCGTCACCAAACTTGGAAGACTGGTAGAGGAGAGTCAGCCAGAGTTTCCTTGCAAATTTGGTGTCTCTAGCATGCTGGGGAGGGGGGTCTACTGCAACATGAACCTCATTAACCTCACCAGTTCATTTGGCACCTAAAAGTTCTTGACAGGTCATGGCTCACTGCCAATAAATAAAAATTAAATTAGCTAAATGCATCTCTAAATTGTCTTCAACTGCTTCCTGTATCAAACTCGGGGCCTCGTTTGCCATGGGATCGTGTGTTCTGTCTTCATTTTCCTGTAATCATTTTGTATCTGGGCTATTGAGGTGGGCAGTTGGTGAGTGTGTGGGTGTGTGGGGGGGAACCTGCTTCACTTAGCTACTGTGTAACTCTTTTCTTAAGGGGCCTCTGGTATGGGAAGAATGTGAATGTCCTTGAATGCCTGTCTCTGCTAGCCGGCCATTGTAGATAATGAAACTGTTAGGTTCACAGGTGGTGGGGGGAAAGGAGTGTGTGCTAGTTTACGTGGGGTGCATAAATGGATTGATTGGGCAGGTCACTGGGGGGGTTGTTTGAATCATGTATAATACCTGAACTGGCGCCAACTTAGTTCTGACACAGATGGTCTCTACCTGAAACAACTACATATCTCAATAAACAAATCACTAGACGAAGAGTGTTGTTGAGTTTGTGCAAGGGTCTGACAGCCTGAAGACTGAAAGTGAGGGGGCCAAGCACACCTCCCTGGGGAAGTTGTTCCATAACTGTGGGGTTGCCATCAAAAAGGCCCTCTCTTGTGTGGCCACCAGATGAACTTCTTTGATTGCTGGGACAGTCAGGAGGGCCTCTACCTGTGATTGAATCGCCTTATGCCAAAGTCTGGACACACACCATACACTTTAATGATAAATGCCCAGTTTCAAAGTTGAACAAGCTTGAATGCATACTTTAGAGCAAGACAGAAAAAGGAATTGGAGGAAGGGAAGGCATGGTCAGGATGCTTGAGGCAAGGGCACAGGGCTGAGCTGTTGTAGGTTTTAGCAGCAACTGGCAATATTCTGCAAAAACAGCAAAGGAAGCAAAGAGAAATATAATACTGTCAGACTCCTAGTCAAGAGACTCTCAACTACACTCTCTTTGGCAGTGATTTGTTTATTGAGGTATCAGCATGATCCAGATTAGAGCAGTACCATGTCAGAACTGAGGTTTTTGGCTGTAACCTCTACAGATACAAACAATTCGAATATTGGGTCGTCCCCCCCCCGGGTTCATCCAATTGTTTCACACAGCCTTCCAGCCTAAGCCGTTAGCCTCTATGCCCACCCATAAATTCCCAGTCGCGTTATCTAAGACAGTGAGGCTTGCATAGAGTTTGCTTCAAGGTCGTCTCCATGGAGAGGCATGTCTTGGGAAAAGTTACAACAGCCGCTACGAAGGTGCCACTCTCATACCCGCACACACACACACCCTTAGGAACCCCCCATCCCCCATTGCTATGGCAAACAATGCAGAGTTTGATGCGGAGTTTGACAAATACACAGAGGAGTTATAAGGCACTGCCAGCATCACTGAATTCACATACCTAATAAAATGAAAGTATGTAGAGGAGTGTGACTTTTACCCACCTCATCATCATTGAGCTGTAGAACATAATACAGCCAAGGGATTTCAGCAAGCTTCCGCAACTCAGCACCCAAGCGCTGCACAACCATTGAGAGCAGCTCTTCGTGAGGTGATTCTAATTGCTGTGGAAACAAACCCAAATGATATGGCATGCTTATGCCTTGTACAACGATGTGTCCAATTGCTGTCTTAAGCAATGAAACACTGATTTGTTTCATTACATCTGTCCTTCCTCCAAAGAGATCAGGGTAGCAGGTGAGGCTGACAGCGACTTGCCCATGATCTCCCAGTGAACTAACTTCTTGGCCGTGGCAGGTGGGGTTGCACCTGGGGCTCCCCAGCCCACACTCAGGAGCCACAACATTCAAAGAAATGCTCATTGACTTATAAATTTACCCTACACTACTCAGATTTACCCTCTCCTTTCCACACAGAAGGAGAGCTACACACTGGGAACTTCTGGTCTCACCCCTCCTTATTCCAGCCCATTGTACCGGCCTTTCACCCATGCAGGTCCCATGGCTGGTGGTCAAAGGGGACCCTCTCCTCCCTTTCTCACCAGTGGAAAAGCTGGGCAGATACAACCCAGTGTCATTTTCTTTTTGCACGCCTGACTTGGCTTTGGTATAATACCAGCCCCTCAAAGCATGTAGGTCAATGGGTCCCACTACGTTGAGCTGGAACTGAAGCTAAAATGCCATTAGCTATGGCACTGTCAACAGCAGCTGTTGTGGTCATGGCAATGCATCAATGAACTGACCAACAGCTATGAAGGACTTACTTTGGCTCTGCTTCAAACCACCCCCACACTGTCTTCTGAACATTAATTCTTATTCGTGAACAAAGGCACATCCCACATCCTGGCTGAACGTGGTCCAGTGTGCCTCTGTGGCAGAACAAGGATTTGAACATGGCTGTCCTGGATCCCAGTCTGACACGCTGGGCAACGACTACACCGTGCTGGCTCTGACCTTATCGCCCTTTATGACTAGGGCAAGTTCTGGGTCACATCCTGCCTGAAGAATGGCAGAAACTGAGATTAGGGTGTGCTAAGCAAGCCAAAAGAAGGACCGGTTTCTGCCACCTTACCAAAGGAACCCTTCCTACTAGCAAGGATTCAGTTTCATCATGGAGCGCCTTCACACTGACGGCTGTCTCAAGGGCAATGTTTCGGGTAAGACTCTAGGAAAAGAAAGACAAGGGCACTACATTTAATAATGGACACTTTGAAACAGCGGGAAAACAATACATCAACAACAAATGTGACTGGATTTCTTCTGCTGGAATGCATAGAGGCACGTTCACTAGGATTCCAATGGCTAATAAAAGGCTCTAATGCAAGGCCTGACTACCTGGGGTCAGAAAAGGATTTTGCTGAGGCCAGCTGGTCAGGGTGCAGTTATGTTTTAGGTTGCTCGCTTGAATCGCCTGCCACGACCTGCTCTCCAGGTACCTCCTGGAGTGTGTCTGCTCTTCACCCGTGGCATTTATGCCACATACACTCATCACCAAGAAGAGGGACGGACAAAACCTGTCTTGTTCCTTTCAAAGTTGTATGAGGCAGTCTGGGAGCTCTGCAGTTTAACAGCCTCAGTGATTAATTTTCAGGATATGTTTTTTAAAAATAATTTATTATTTTTATTTTCATATACAAACAAACAACAATACAATTATTAACCGTATATCAATATATATAACATAACATAACTAGAGGAGAGCATATCAAAGACCATTTCTTTTGGGTAGCTAGAAGTTTTAGAGGTAGTGCAATATACAATTGTATATCATGCAGTACCTTAAAAATGTAACAATTTCTCATAAAAAGGATTCTTTGGTACAACGCCACCGTTTGGCAAATATTCTAATATAGGAAATTTTCAGGATATGTCGAAGAGCAGAACCATTTCTTCACAGCCTGAGCCTGATCAAGTTTGGGACAAGAATTAGAGCCACTGTCCAGCAATCATAAAGACAATGCCTTTGTTTGCAATGTCCCCCTTTGTGGGTGATCATTTTTGCTCTTCTGTTTGTTTATTCTATTCTTTATAAACCACCTCAAATACCTTTACCTCAGGAAATCTCAGATTGGCTTCATTTAAGGCATGAGAACATGCATTGACGGCATGAGCTAGCTCTTGCTCCAACAAGGTGTGTATTTTTGCAGCCTCACAGATTCTGGAAGAAGAGTTGGAGGGAACAAAGAAAGGAGTGAGAAACACGTGCCCGGGGGGGGAGGGGGTGTCAACAAACAGCTTCCAGAATACGTAGACAGAGCACTCATTTCATAAGCGTACTGCATTCAGACTGATCACTGAGTTATCACTATTTGCTGCAGAGAATCAGGCACAGACGAGGCACAGCCCACACAGAGTCCTCAGATGCTGCCCCAACACCGTTCCAATGAGCAAGGTCAGGATCTCCCAAATCTGATCACGGTTTCCAGGGCTCAGGGCCCCCCCCGCCTCTGCCCATCACTACATCAAAGATACAGGGCTGCATGCAGATTTCTATGACAGACAAAAAGTGTGACACTTCACATGTGTCTTGGAAATGCATAAATATGTATACCCAGGGCTCTTTTTGTAGAAAAAGCCCAGCAGGAACTCATTAGCATAATAGACCACACCCAACAGCAGGAACTCATTAGCATATTGGGCCACACCCCTGACAACAGAGCGCATTACACATTAGGCCACACCCCCATGTTACCAGAAGTGTGGTTATCCAGCCACACCCACCTTTTGCTTGTTATTCTGTTTACCTTGTTTGTTGTCAAAACCCAGGGCCTTTTTTTGTAGCAGGAACTCCTTTGCATGTTAGGCCACACACCCCTAATGTGGTTATCCAGCCACACCCACCTTTTGCTTGTTATTCTGTTTACTTTGTTTGTTGTCCAAACCCAGGGCCTTTTTTTGTAGCAGGAACTCCTTTACATGTTAGGCCACACACCCCCTAATGTAGCCAATCCGAATGAGTTTCTGCTGTTGGGTGTGGCCTATTATGCTAATGAGCTCCTGCTGGGCGTGGCCAACTTGGGAGCCAGCCGGAACTCCGTTCTTGTGCGTTCCTGCCCCAAAATAGCCCTGGGTAAACCAGGAAAGCAAGGGACAACACTGGCAGTTCTGGACACTGATTTAATTGCCAAGTCATGTTGTTCTCCTTCCACAGTACTGCAAAGACCTGGACCTTCCTCTCTGTGCACTTGGCTAAAATAGATCCAGGTGGGGCAGGTGGCCGTGTGGGTCTGAAGCAGCAGAACAAAGTCTGAGACCAGCCGGGCCCCTCGGAGACCAGCCGAGTCTTATTCTGGGCCTGCTCATGAAAGCCTCCGCCCAGAATAAAACTTGGTTGGCCTCCAAGGGGCCCGGCTGGACTCAGACTTTCTTCTATTTGGCCAAAAGTTCCGCTCAGATTGTGGTCCTCCTCCTGCTCCACATCCCACACCCTCCTTTGCTTTTGTCTCTCCTTCCGCTCTCTAGAATTCTGCTGCCAAGAGCCGCAACGTCTCGTCACTCAGGTCCGGCCGTGCCTCTCCTCAGACCCCTCCTCTGGCTCCCCCAGTGTGTTCCGCATCTCAGCACCAGCCCCGTGGCCCCGCTTCAGAGTGCTCTCGTCTCAGCCTGTCTCAGCCTGTCTCTGCCTGCAGCTGGCACTCCCTGGCCTTGTGGCCACCAGAAGGTCTTCTGTACTCTTACAGGGCTCCACTCATCGTCCCTTGCGACTCCTGGCACCCGGGACACCTCCTCGTTGTGGAGACGGCCCATCACCAGCAGCCTAACGGGGGTAGGGCTGGTCTCCACAGTGTTCCCTTTTATAGCTGAATCCAGGCAGTAGCGCATGCGCTTAATTTCAGCCTAATGTCCCTGAAACTGCCCATTCAAGACCCAAGGAAGATTACAACGGCTGAACTGTGAATTTCCCACTTTTGCCTAAAATTACCTTTATCAGCATATAAAGACCAAATCAATAGGAATAGCATCATGCCATACTGATGGCAACAGGCACAGAAAGCTTAAAAGGGGGTTAGACAGATTCATGGAGGAGAGGTCTATCAGTGGATACTAGCCACAGTGACTAAAGGGAACCTCCACATTCAGGGGCAGTCAACCTGTGAATCCCAGTACCAGGGGGAAACAAGAAGGGAAGGCCTCAGCCTCTATGCCCTGTTGTCGGACTTGCAGGTTGGACACTGTGAGAAACAGGATGCTGCACTAGGTGGACCACACGGGTCTGATCCAGCGGGGCTCTTCTGACACTCGTACTGCAGGATTAAAAGGCAAAATACCGGTAGTTGATCACCTGCCCAACTTTCTAATCCTTCTGTGCATGGACAGCAGGTACACCCGGGGATTTGGGGACTGATTGCCATCTCAGAAATTCTAGATACGTTGTATTTTAAATCGGACTTCTGTATTGTATTTTCACTGTTTTACTGGGTTGCAACCTGCCCTGAGCTTGCTTGCGGGGGAGGGCGGGATAAAAATGTGATAAAATAAATAAAAATGAATAATGGAGTACATTTGCGGCACTTGCATGCTTTACACCACATCTAGGCATAAAACTGCTTAGAAATCAGAAAATTAAAACAGTACGTAATTTTTCTGTAAAACTCTGAATGTAACAGTAACAGAGTGATGACAAACCTCTACAAAAAAATTCAGGATGCCTTTTGCCACAACACCCCCACCCCCACCCACCCCCGTCACCAGGACCGAGTGATGCTTCTGCAGAGCTCAGCTGTGCTTTGTTGCTCTGTACCTGGTAATCAGTTCTTCCGCAGCCTGAGAACAGAACTGGATCTGTGCAGCCTCTTCTTCAGTGACCAGCTCCACAGCCTGTTGAGGGTATAAAGGAGACTGGAGGACTGGTTTGCAGGAATCACACTTCTGTTTGTCTTCCCAAGACTTCAGGGTACTTTCAAAGGCCTGTCCAGAATTGAACAAGGTACTCAACATTATTCCCAAGGTTTCCATTTGAGAGCATTATGTATACACACATTCCACACACATGATAGATTTTACAAAACAATAGTTGTGTTTTTAAAAATCGTTATCATTGTCATTACAGCTCTTGGATTCATTACTATATTCAGTTTTCATTTCCATTGGTTCCAATGGGAAACAACCATATACTTAGGCATTTTAGCCCTCACCAAAGAGATCCCCCCAACCCCCCACTGAATTGCAGGCAAAAAGAAAAAGGGTCCCTTTTGCATGTGCAATTAAAATCCCTGCTTGCACTGCAGGGTGACAACACTTATTTGTAGGGATGGACACAGACCCGACCATGAACCAAACTCTGGGCTGAACTTTGCCCGGTTCAGGCTTGCGAACCTTGGTTCGCAAACAGCGCCTTCCCCCTAACACTCACCAAGCTTCTGTTCAGTTCGGGGTTTGGCTTCCCGATGCATTTGCTTCACTTCCAGGTGGCGTCAGGCCCCTGACCCCAGTGTGCCCGCATTGCCTGAAATGACACAAGTGCACTGCCCAACATGCTCATGTCACTTCTGGGTGACATGGATGTGCCGGTGGCAGGGCCTGAAGTTCAGGCAGGTTTTCTGCTTGGGGGTTCAATTCAGGGCTCAGTTCAGAGCTGTCCGGCTTGCGAGCCACAAACCGAACCGGGCTTTCCTGGTCTGTGCCCATTCCTACTAATTTATATTTATTTAAGGAATGTCTATGTTACTTTTCTGCTCAAAATGAACACCCAAGGTAGCTCCTGGGATAAAACATAAGAACATAAGAATGTTGGATCAAGCCAAAGGCCCATCCAGCCCAACACTCTGTATCACACAGTGGCCAAAAATACCAGGTGCCATCAGGAGGTCCACCAGTGGGGCCAGGACATTAGAAGCCCTCCCTCGGTTGACCCCCCCAAGCACCAAGAAGACAGAGCATCCCTTGCCTCAGAGTCCCTATCTATACCCTGTGCCACCGCTCCCCTTTTTAAGGTGTGGTAACCAGAATTGCACACAGTATTCCAAATGAGGTCGCACCATTGATTTATATAGGGGCATTATGATATTGGCTGATCTGTTTTCAATACCCTTCCTAATAATCCCCAGCATAGCATTGGCCTTTGTTATTGCAGTCACACACTGTCTCGACATTTTCATTGAGTTATCTAAGATCTCTCTCTTGTTCAGTCTCTGCCAGTTCAGACCCCACCAATGTGTATTTATATTTTGGGGAGATCATCGGGGCCAACGATTTCCTATGAAGATCCCATAACTTCAAGGTCGAATCTAGGAAGGCGTTTTGCATTATATTCTCCGTTCTTCGTTTCTTATCCATCCATATTGTTTCTGCTAGGAAATATGGTGTGATATATGACTGTTCAATCTGGATCCAGCTCGCAGCCTGAGGCAATTGAAGCATCATAACAATGTGTGAAAGAGCAGCTGCCCTGTGATATAGTTGGAGGGATGGGATTCCGAGACCTCCAAAAGAGGTCGGTTTGGCTAGATGTCACTGATCCACTCTTGACTTAGATGAATTCCAAAGAAAGTTGGTGAGTGCCACTTGGAGAAGGTCTTTTCGTCTATGAAGATAGGTAATGCCTGGAACAGATACAGGAAACACGGGAAAATGAAACTTTGTATTAACTGTAACCTATCTGCCAATGTCAGCTTCTGCTCATTCCACTTTTGGATTTCCCCTTGGATCTCTTTATGAAGTCTGTGAAAATTACAGTCCATAAGATTATTTAGGTTTAGAGGTATGTTGACTTCAAGGTGTTTCCACTCCGATGTGATCCATCTGTAGCTGTAGTTATGTTGAAGTTCATTTCTGGGAGCTTTAGAAAGTTTGATGGGATACACCTCTGATTTGCTTTCATTCAGGTGGAGGCCCGAGATTTTTCCGAAGTCAAGGATGGTGTCTACTACTGCTGACAAAGACCTCGCTGGGTCTTCAATATACAGCGTCATGTCGTCTGTGTACATGGTAAGTTTGTGCTCTGTCTCCTCTATTCCCATACCTTTGAAGGTTGAATTTTTGCACAGTCTTCCCACTAAAGGTTCTATGGCCAAGGCGAAGATGAGTGGCAAAAATGGGCATCCTTGCCGCGTGCCTCTTGTAGGGGAGAAAAATGCAGAATTCATTCAATTTACACGCACTCTGGATTTTGGATGTCTGTATAGAGTTTCTAGGGCCTGTAGAAAGTGGTTGCCGAAGCCCATGTGTCTAAGAAGCATCATGAGGTATTGGAGTTCTATCGAATTGGAGGCTTTTTCAAAGTCGATTCTACCTTGGATGTCTTTTCTCTCAGGATGATATTGAGGGACCTTCTAATATTGTCAGTGATCTGCCTACCGGGTATAAAGCCCATTTGGTCCATATGTATGAGATCTATAATTACAGATTTGAGACGGTTGGCTAGGATTGTGGAGAACAGTTTTGCATCATTATTGATTAGGGCTATGGGGCGATATGATGCCAGATCTGTCTTTGCCCTTCTTGGGTATGACAATTATCGATGATTCGGCCCACGATGGTGGTAGTCTGTGGCCCAATAGAGCAGAGTTGCAGAGGGTGAGAAGAGGGTCTAGAAGAGAGGAACTGAAAGTTTTATAAAACTCTGCCGGAAGCCCGTCTATCTCTGGCGCCTTATTACATTTTGTCTGCTTTATCACGTTTTCTAGTTCATTGCGCGTAATCGGGCTGTCTAAACTGGTTGCTTGTGACAGAGGTAAAGTGTTAATTGTAGTGACAGAGTCCAAGAAGGTGTGAGTATCATCCAATTTCGGTGAGGATGAGGTGTATAATTTTTTGTAAAAGTCTGCAAAGGTATTTGCAATCACCCGCGATGCGATCGCGGTGTTTTTACTTCAGGTGTTTTTACTGAGGCGACCACTGCTTTCTTCTTCTAACCCTTGACTCTCCAAGCTAGTAGTTTCATATTTTTAGCTGATTTGTGCCAGAATTTTTGTTTCATCATTAGTGGGCTCCTCTGTATAGATTTCATTTCCATGGAATCCAGCACTTTCCGTTCTGCATGTGGTTTCAAATGGGTTGAATTTTTTCCCATCCTTTTGTGTTCCTGCTCTAGGGCGGTGATATGACACAATGTTTCCATTTTCAATTTGTGTGTTTCTCATTTCAGATGGGCTGATTCCGAGATGATGGAGCCTCTTAAAACTGCTTTCAACGTGTCCCATTGGATCGCTGGGTCTGTTTCCATGTACTTGTGTGTCATCAGGAAGTTTTTAATCTCTTTGACTATCTTTTCTGTAATTGATGTTCGTAATAAAATGGAAGTATCCAACGACCACTGTCTGTCTGTAGTTTCTTCCATGATATCAGAGATTCAGCATTCCAGCCAGGCGTGGTCTGTAAGGTGTCTGGGACCAAAGTCGGAAGATGTTGCGACTCCCCTGGAGCCTTGGTAAAAGGCTCCCAGCCAGGGGGCTTTTGAGGGGTGAACTCTTCGATGGCCGAAAGCTGGAGAATTGAGGCGCCCCTCCACCCCAAAAGTCCTGCCGCTGAGTGTCACGCGGGATCCTTGGGCGCTTGCCCATTGTATTAAAGTGTCTTAAAATGTTTTATTGTGTTTTTATCGCACTGTGTGCCATGTTGTGTATTATGGTGCTGTAATGCACCTCATACTGTAAGCCGCCCTGAGCCTGCGTGCGGGGAGGGCGGGGTATAAATAAAATTAAATAAATAAATAATAAATAATAAAATCCTGATATTGTTGCCCCCAATTTTCAAGGGTGTTCCTGAAGTTGCTTTCAAAACAGCATCTCTCACATGTCTCTTTGAGAATCTGACCACTATTTTCCCAGGCAGATTATTTTTCTTGATGTATGATGAATAGGACCTGTAGATCACATCCATCTCACTGCAAAGGTATTCCGCTGTTGAATCTGTCATTGGGGATATTGCTTTGCTCAACCGTTGCTTCAGATTCTCTCTTTTAATTTCCAGGACCCCTTGAAACTGTAGGACCAAATTTGCTTTATCCATTTGTAGCTGTAAAAGCTTTGAATCTTCCGTAGCTTGCTTCATTTTCAGCTTTTTCAGCTTTTTCTTAACTCTTTTAGTAGTGACATCCATTTCTTTCACCTTCTCTCCCATTTGCTCTGTGGTTTTTATGGATTGAGTCAGTTGCATCTACTGCGCTGCCACACTCTGATCAATTATTGACAGTTGTTGTTTAATGCCAGTAATCAAATACCTATCTGCTTTATCAAAGTCTTTTGGAAATATATTCAATAACAATATTTCTGGAGTAAATGGGACCTTAGTTCTTATACTTTTTTGCATTATTTCATATACCCATCTCCAAAACCTTTTTGTAACATCACATAGCCACCATATATGATAGAATGAACCAGTCTTATTCTTACACCTTTTTCTTAACTTTTTTAGTAGTGACGTCCATTTCCTTCACCTTCTCTCCCATTTGCTCTGTTGCTTTTAAGGATTGAGTCAGTTGCATCTGCTGCGCTGCCACGCTCTGACCAATTATTGACAGTTGTTGTTTAATGCCAGTGATCTCATTCAGCAGGGGGTGCAGGGAGTCAGCCAAGAGTTTTGAGAGCTCAGTGACCTCATCCATTCGAGGACTGCCCCCTAGTTTCAGTTTCAACAGCTTCTCTTTCTCTGGTTTCTTCCCTGCCATCTTTTTGGATTTGTTTACTTTCAAAAAAGTTGCTAAAGTCTCTGATATTCGTCCGAATGCTTTTCTGCACTCTGGTAAGTCTCTTAAAACCGTTTTAGTCGCTTATTTTTCCGCTTCCCCCTCTTTCTGTCCGTGTTCCGTCTATGTGTTTGGGAGGGACCCCTCCACCGCTCACTTTCCCATTGCTCTTTAGGGCGGGCAGCTTCTTTTTATGTCTTCATGCTCGCTTCAACCCGAATCACAGTTCGTTGTTCGCCATTCGGCCTCGCTTGTCATCATTTATTTCGCCCGATCTCCAACG